TTTTGGTTTTGTGGTCCAGAATGGCTAACTGCAGAGGAGAATTACCGTTACAAAATGGTCGAATGGATCCTATTTTAATTCCTGGTCGATCTGTAGCAGAGATAAATAGATTTTCTTCGCTGGAAATATGACTAAAGACTACTAAATTTATTTTTCTAATTTTTAAAAGAGAGTAAAATTGAATAGGCCAGAACCTTTAATGCGCAAACACAAAGGGAAGTGAATTAAGAAGCGTATAAACTATAGCCCGAGGAAGGACCAAAAGGAATAAATTAATAATGGACTTAGGACTCCAGAATGTCTTGATCCGGGCGATATACTGTAATCTGACGAACAAATTTCTGATGTCCACCAACGACCTTCATCAGAATAGTACTTAATAATCCATCACCTTTATTTATACAAGTAATTTAAGAATTGTATAAATTATGAGAAGAAATTCACGACTTAACCCTGACAAACACATTTAATAATGAATTGCTAAAAAAGTCCACCATCCGTGCATACAAATACACTATAAAGCTACTATTGGTAAGTTGCCAGCTGGAATTTTTAGTGCAGCGCAGTACAGTAGCTTTAGCACTGCTGCTGTAGAGGAAAAGTAGTAACGTAGCGGGGTTTTATTTCTGAAGAATTCCAGCCGCAACTCTCCACTTTTACAGTCCTTTATGAGTAGCAATGCATTCTTTAGAAAAAGTTGAGAATTTTGCTTGAACTTGTCTGGTTCACTTTTCAGTGTATGCCCATGTGGCCGCAGAGAGGTGGGACGTGTGTGTGGTAGCATTTATATATGTAATTACGTGGCACCACTGCACGTGTTATGTGGCAACATTGCCCGAGGCTGCCATATGGCAAGGCAGTCTGTCTGACTCTGTGGGCCGTGCATGGCACACGCTAGTCACTACTTGTATTTCTACTATCCGTTAATAAATGGACTTCAGTGTTACCCGGTGTTTCCCTATCCATCACTGCCTTCTTCAGGGAACACTTGGAACCTTCAGTACCCAGTCTGATTTCTAGGAAATCTGATTCGTGAGTGACTAGTGGGTGTCGTGACCAGTACAATATCTATCTGTGATCCCCCTAAGTAGATATATTTATCAATTTACTGGTGAATCTGTGTCTATATGTGGTGTCCTGCCTAGAAGGAGAGTTAGCAATGAATGGTTGTCAAGGGCAGTTGGTGTCAACGGCCGTCTTGACGGATATTGCAAGTCAATATCAGTCCCATTCATTGACAACTGGGACAACTTCTACGGCAGAAGGGACCTTTATGCTAGGGATGGAGTGGCAACCCTGGCTGGGTCTCTAGAGGGGGCAGTTCAAAAGATATCGAAGTCTTTAAACTGCTAGGGGAACATATGGGCACGGGGGTGGAGGAGACTGCAGTGGGAGCGGGTAAACAAAGTGAAAGATTACAGGGAAATAGTGTTAGGAATGATGACAAAACTACATTAGACAGGGAGTTTAAACCTAAACGCGGTAAAGGGAGGACTCTGAACACGACTAACTTAAATGTCTACTACGCGAACAATATAAGTATGAGAAACAAAATGGATGATATTAGGGCCTTGGTATGTACCGAAAAAATCGATATAATAGTATTCACTGAAACATGGATCAACCTAGACTCACGTGAGTTACCTGTCGAATACCAAATTGCGGATTACAAATTGTTCCATACCGATAGGCTGTCCAGGAAAGGAGGCGGAGTAGCCATTCTATGTCAGGGATAATCTGAAGTGCAAATAAATAAGGAAATAAAAACTGAGCGGAATACCGAAACAATTTGGATAGAATTAATGGACGGTAGGGAAAAATTAATCATAGGAGTAATATATAGACCTCCCAATCTAGATAAGAGTTAATGAGCGACTTATAAGTCGCTCATAAGTCGCAAATTATAATTTGCATTACATCAATTGCCTAGATAAATTATGTTATATGTAAATTCTATTTCTTTATTGTATCATAGTGATGTTAATACCGTAGTTTTACTTGAATGCCAGTAATTGAAATGACTGCATGAAGAGGAATTACTTTTCCCAATTATACATAATATGCACATATATTTACCTACCTACCTACATAAATACACACATATATATATATATATATATATATATATATATATATATATATATATATATATATATATATATATATATATATATATATATATATATATATATAATTTTAAATCAGTGCTTTTGTAGATTTTGACATAAAATAATTGTAAACCATGTAAAACTGCTAAGCAAAATGCAACAAGTAAGGTGGAGTAAGGCAGTTTATTTACCTGTTCAGTGTGACTGGTGGGCCTGCCTGTTGCTTGTGATCTTGATCCAATCTGGCTTGCAGGAAAATAACGCCACATGCATATCAGCTGCAGTCTTGAGTCGGTTTCTCTTTGGTTTTTAGCTTTGTTAGGGTGAAAAAACTTGCTCACACATGTAAGTTGTTGTAAAAGGAAGCAACAGTAAGACACTTTCCTTACTTAAGAGTGGATATTCTTTGGTAACACTGATCCAGAATGATAACACAGATGATGACTTGTGCTTGATTCTTAATGTATTATCACATGTGAGAGTGAGAAGCTCTTTTTTCTTTTAAACAGGTGTTTGGTTTATCCCTGCAATAGATTCTAGCCTCTCAAAAGCATATGGATCTTTACCCATTGAAGATGGCACACAAGGCAAGGAGGTGTAGCTGTATATCACCTTTCATTTTCTTCAAACTCTCTTCAGTGATGCAGTTTTCCTCAATATATTTCAATAGTGTTGGGAACATGTAGTACATAGGGCGATCAACTCCAAGTCTGGCTTGCCATAGCACTATTGATTTCTTAAATGCCTTTATTTCCTCACTCTGTTGGAATACATCATTTCCTTCCCATGCAGTTTCAGATTAAGTTCATTTAGCTTTGAAAAAAAAAATGTCTGCTAGGTATGAGTTTTAATATCCACTCATCATTGCAAAATAAGTCTGCCAAATCAGATTTTTAAAGTAAGAGGAAAAGACGAATCTCCATCCTTAGCTCATAAACCCGTGTTAGAATTCTGTCACGGGAAAGCCACCGAACCTCTGTATGATACAGGTGTGAATAATCAGCTCCCATTTTTAAACACAGCAATTCAAACAACCGACTGTTCAGTGAACTTTCTTTGATCATATTAACAACTTTCACCACATCTTTCAGAACATCCTCGAGATTATCAGGGATACCATTGGCAGTCATTACCTGCTGCCTCTGATATTTTATTGACAACCCCACTATTTTAGTTATATTAGCTGCGCCATCAGTTGTAATTCCTTTGCAACTAGCCCAATCCAGTTTGTATTTTCCAAATACACAATCATTTAACACTCTGTATATCTCTAACCCCAAAGTGTGTGTAGGTCAGCTCAAAAAACAGTAAATCTTCCAAAAAGTCATCTTTCCATGCATATCTATCATAAACCAACAATGTTGCACAGTCAGACATGTCAGTACTTTCATCAAGTTGGATAGCAAATTCTCCACCAGACTGTAGACATGAAACTAGCTGGAATTCTAAATCCTCTGCAATAGCACTTGTCCGCCGAGACACTGTTGTATCACTGAGAAGGACGCATTTTATTTTATTTGCAAACTTATCAAGAACTGTACTCACTACAGTATATCCAAAGTGGATGGAAGAGTAAGTTTGTCAGCTTATGTATATTGAGCTTTTTCATTTGCAATGCGAGAAGCAACTAAATATGATGCCAGTTGTACTTTATCATTAAGAGTGGTTGCTTTACTAAGAATTTTTACTGACAACTTCATTTCCTCCTTTCTTCTCCGGAAGTACTCAAGTGGTTTGCCAATGAGTTCAGCGTGTTTTGTCTCTAGGTGTCTTTTCAATTTGGACGGCTTAAAAATTTCATTTGGAATAACTTCATTGCAAATCACACACTGAGGCCTTGGTTCTTGTTTGCTCTGTTCACACCTTGCAAAGCCGTACTTAAAAAAATCAGCATTATACTGCCTTGTCCACGACTTATCTTTTTGGCAGGGGATTCAGAAGGGGAGGCAAATGAGGAAGAGATCTCTCCACACTTTCAATTGTAAGGCTCTCTGACTGTTTATCTTTCTCAGATGCATATGTATCTGATGGCTGAGAAGGTACTTTGCTCTTTCTTATAACAAAACGATTTATGGGCCAATCCCTCCTTGCATACCCCTCCTCCGCTCATCCGACGGTAACTACCAAATTAAACACGAAGGCATCCACCAACGCTGGAAAGAGCACTACCATTCGCTGCTCAACCGAGACACCTTTTTTTTTCCACATTCTCGATGTCTACAGATTATTCAAAAGATATTAATATTCTGTGCAAGAGAAACAGTCATTACAAGTTCAAGTACTTTAAATTTGCTCAAGAAAACGTGGGAAGAAAATTTAAATTTTTACATTGGATATTAAGTGATAGTTATTTTTTTGTTTTAATTAAGAATATTATATCCGAGGAACAGGTACTTTAATAGAATTTTATAAATAAGTCAAAGCAATCATGCAGGGGTGGAACTTTAGATTTTTTAATCTTTTGACAACGAACTTGGCAGGATATTGAAAGAAATATCACAGTTAATAAGAAGCAACATAATGACCCAAGGTATCGTAATCTAACCTCACATAACCTAATGAAACCTTACCTACAAAAGGTGGGAGTTAAGGGTCACGTATTTGGCCTCAGCCTTTCCTTAGGGCACCCCTAACATGTTTCTTGGCTATTCCCAGCCTATATCTGTTTGTCCCAAGCAAAGCCTGGCTCTCCCAAGTCCTTTCCTAATTTCGACTTGACTACAAGCTAGTGATGTCTTGGGCGTTTTACAGTCACGTGACTATTGAACAACTTTAACCCTTATCTTTTATAGTTTCTGATGGATTTGATTAGAAAAATATGGTTACCATAGTGAAATTCAGCCTATTTTTTACTTTTTATAATAAAATGGCAACCGTCAACTCTTCCATTACCTGTGAAACCGATGACGACCTGAAAGATAGCAGACACAGCTATGGCGCCTTGAACCTCCCGCATGCGGACCTGCCATACCTCCTCCCGTTCCTCAGTAGTCATGTTGGTCAGCGGCAATTGGTCACAACTCTCAAAGTTGGTGTTGAGGATGGCAATAGTGGGCACCATCAGGCTGAAGGTACCACCCTGCACGATAGGCAGCCTGGGAGATAGGTCATCATTAATGTGATATGGGAAATAAACACATAGAAAATATATATATTCTTAAAAGTAAGCATTAATAAAAAGATAAACTCGCGAAGGATTTGGTCATAACTAATGAAGTATTTTGTTCATTTTAGTAACTGTGGAATTAGTCCGAGAATCGTCAAACAAATTATTAATAGGTCATGTAAAATTACGGTTGCTAAAATTTGACTTTATAGCATGAAAGAAAGAATGTGTGAATCAAAATTTTAGAAATGATTATTATATGTGAAAATTCAATTGAAATATGTCAGGCTTTAATATTGAGTACGATATACCAGTATGAGTACACTCGAGGACTAAAGTCATGATCTCTGGCAATGAGGAAAATCTTAAGTTGATATGTTGTATGATGTTATAAATAAAATAAGATGTTTAATAAGATTAAAAGTAAAAAAAAAATAAAATATGTCTTTAAAAATTACATGCAGTTAAGTACCCATATTGTAGTTAAAATATTTTTCATTGCTCCAGTCAGTTTTTCTGACCATTCAATGGTTCTGTCAAAAGTAAACATTAAAAAAAATTAAAAGTAGGTAAAGGTTTCGGGAAACTGAAGTGTAGTATTTTAAACTGATGAGGTACAGAAAAACTTTGGAGTGTTTTGGAAACATGTTAAGGAGAAAATAAACACATACCAGAATATTTTTAGTGGTGGGAACAATGTGCTAAACCAGAATGCAAGAACTTTTATATAAAATTATGTAAGAGAATGTTGCAAGAAAAATATGGGCTAATTAATTTATTTCAAAGTAGATTAAGAGAACTTTATGAAGAATTTAAATATCTTGATGTGAATTATGAAGAAATAAAGGCAATGAAAACCAGAATAATGAATTCAGGAACAAAATTTGTGAAAGTGTCAAAATAAGATCCAGAATAAAAGACAGAATAGAAGGAGAAAAGCTTTCTCGCCATTTGATCTGTAAAGAAAAGTCAACATACTTACACTTGCATGTATGTCCTGCGTATGCTTTGCTATCACACGGGCTGCAGAAGCTACATGTGAATTAGCTATAGTACAAACTAATGCATCTACAGCCCTACAACAATGTGAATACACTCCAATACCATATAGATTAGTGTTTCGTGCACATCTCAATAATGTGCAGTATTTTTATTTCCCAAATCAAACCAGTGTGATACGGATATGCTAGGATGTAGGTAAACATTTAGTAGTGGAAAGTTATCATATTAGGGTGTGTCATAGGAGGGAAGATCAGCTAAAACTAATGGCCCATCACTTTTTTGGTAGATTTCAGTGTATATGAACAGAAAATAATTTCAGTTTCAATATTTTGCAACCTTTTGCTAGGTAAATTTGAGCGTGAAATTTATCGAAAATCTAACGTACAGCTGCATTAGTGCATTACAATTAAATAGTGAACATTGCTTTCTGACTTCATTCTTTAACAACCCAACTAACAATATTTTTTTCTGTTTCAGATTCTGATGCATTTATAAGTTGATAATATTTGCGATGGCTGCTTGTGTCAGGACGAGGAACCAAAAATCCAGCCATCTCAGTCACTATCTTGGGTCTGGGAGAGAGCTCCTGAAGTCGGAGTTGCCTACATTGAGAGATGCTTTGAGATACGGTGTTTTAATCAGGCAAATCAGTGAAAAGAACCAAAGAACTTACACAAACAAAGACATTGCCAGTGATATGACCAGCTGTCTTGGCACAGTACACTCTGGCTAACGCTCAGTTCAAGCCTCCAGTCATAACAAGTCAGAAGAAGATTAGTGAGAGACTGCTAGCCAGTTGGGAAAAGGCAAGAGATATCTCTCTTGGGAGAGGAAAACTTGCAGTTAAGGACAGCTTTGCCAAGCAACTGGACCAGTTATTTGACATAATTACTTGCAAGTGCCCAATTGTTCTCTGTCCTGAGTTTGGATGCGATCGTGACTGTAAATCCGAGGCCCACATCTCCTGTATTTGCAAGTGTGAACTGAAGATTCCTGTGATCGAACTGGCATTTGTCAAAGCACAGAGAGAGAAGACTGGCAGTATAGGGGCTCTCATGATTTCTAGCCAAGATATTCCGGAGTCCAAGAGACAGGAGGCTGCCACAGAGAGACAAAAGAGGAGAAGAGTTGCCGAGGAAAAGAGACTTGAGAAGGCCCAGGGTGAGGTAAAAAAGGCCGATGATTGGAGTCAAGCTGATTCAGAGTTTAATGACTTCCCCATGGCTGATCCGAGTGCTGACCAGGAGAATGGTGACTTTGTCCCTAACCCAGAAAATAATGATCCCAAACCTTCCAGGCATAAGATTCGAAATAGGAAAGATATCCCGAGCATAGCTCTGGCCAGCATGCGACACCACACTGGTCTCAGAGAAACTGCAGAGATAGCAACAGCTGCCTGGATTGACAGTGGTTTGATAACACCTGATGATGTTTGTATGTATATTCTGTATGCTGTATTTATATAATGCTATGTATATTATGTATGTGCTCCATTTATGTATTATTTATTTAGCCTAGCTAGTAGCGTGTGGCAATGTATTTATCAATGTCCCACATGCTTAATTAATGTGCCTGGCGATGTATGGAAGCTGCTAATGTATCACTTGCCATACGTCGTCTATAGAGCAGTTGACAAGCAGACAGGTTGAAGAGCACTACTCCCCTTGTGTACATATCTCTTATCCAGTAAATCGAACCTACAAAATCTATACAGGTGTTTGTGTTCGCTACTGTATATTGAACTTATTACCCAGAACATTGAACAATGTTCACCTGGTGATAGATCATAACAAAGTAAGGAGTGCTCAGGAGAAACTTGTCAGTAACCTAGAAGAGGAGTTTGATAAGGGGATAAGAGAAAATGGAATCAATTGTTTGTTCTTTGATGGGATAAGGGATGACACTAAAGTGTTCATGAAAGTTGGAGATTCTGACAAGTTGTTCCCTGCCATGGTGAAGGAGGAACACTACTCCTGCTGCAGTGAACCAGGAGGGAAGTATTTGTGGCATTTCACTCCAGAGAAAGATGACATCAGGAAACCAGCTGAGATAGTGGCAGATAACATTGTGAACTGGCTCAGAGAGAGGAACGTAGACCAGACCCTGCAGGCCATTGGAGGGGACAGCACCAACACGAACACAGGGTGGCAAGGGGGGTCATACAGTGGATAGAGCGGAAGATTGGGAGGAAGCTGGTCTGGATTGTTTGTGACCTCCACACCAACGAGTTGCCACTCAGACATCTGATCCAGGAGCTGGATGGCAAGACTCTTTCAAACAACAGATGGTCTGGTCCTCTTGGCAAGATGCTGGACTCTGCCACTGAGTTAGAAATAAATCCGAGCTTTGAAAAAAAAGTTGGCCCTCCACTCGTTGAGCTTGCACATACTGTCATTGACGACCTGAGTACTGACCAGTACTATGGTTACATGATTTGCAGTGCCATCAAAACTGGGGTCATGCCTGATAGACTTGCTTACCTGCAGATAGGTCCAGTCTCACATTCTAGGTGGCTCACAACGGCTCTCAGGTTCTGCAGAATTTGGGTCGCTCATCATAAACTGAAAGGGAACCAGCTTCACAACCTGAGACTTATTGTCCAATTCATCGTGAGTGTCTACTTGCCAAATTGGTTCAACACCAAGGTCAAGTCATCGTTCTCCGAAGGTCCGAGGCATGTTCTCTTCCAGCTTGAGCTCCTGAGGAGTCAGCCAAGGAAGGTTGTTCAGATTGTGGAGCAGACTGTGAGGAGATCTTCCTGGTATGCTCATCCCGAGGCAGTTCTGCAGACAATGCTCTGCAGTAAGGATGAGGAGGAGAGAAGAGTGGCAGTCAAAAAGATCTTGGATATGAGACTTATGAGAGGATCTGGGCATGACGAATCAGTTGGTGACGATTCCTTCAGGGTCAGGAAGACTCCTGAAGTCAATCTAGGTGCCAAGACCCTCACTGATCTCATAGATCTGGATAACATCCAGGCTGGCAGTGAGCCCCTCTACCTGCAGCCTCACCAATGTTCAAGTCAGAGCTTTCCTGGACAACCCCATGCATGTCCCTGCCTGGCCCTCGCACACCCAGAGTATAGAGCGTTGTGTACAGCAAGTGAGCGAGGCCAGCAGTCACGTGTACAGCCAGGAGAGGAGGGAAGGCTACATCCGAGCTCAGGTGGTCAGCAGGGAGGTGATGAGTAGAAACAGAAGCAAGAAAGACATGTTCTCTATGGTGTGCAGCAACACCGGGTCGTAGTAGTAAAACCGGTTTTTGTATTTGATGATTTTGTTTTCTAAAGGAATATTAAATTTAATAAATGTGTCAAGATCATTCGTTTCACTATTCTGGATCATTTTCATCCTAATAAATTAACCTGATACATTTACTTTACTTTAAATAAGCTATTTAGTGGTGTTGGTAAAAGGATGGGAATACTGAATTTTCATAAGATTTCAAGTTAAAATTTACCTAGCAAAAATGAAAACTTTTCTAATCTGAAGATATCACATGATTCTGCACATAGAACTACATCATTAATACCATGGGCCGATTTTTCAAACTCAAAAAAAAAAAATTCGCCTCCGTATGACACACCCTATTATCATATAGCACCAGGCTATTGTGAAATTAACAGTAATACAATCACAACCTTGCTTTTTCGCCATTACCTTGCATACCATTTTTCTTGAATATGATTTTCAGCAGCATTCATATTGTATCTGATAAGCTTAAACTTCTATCTTATATTAATGAAACAGTTTCCTGCTTTACAGGATTCTCTTCCAATATATTTATCTACCGGTATAATCCTACCTGGTTTCTTTATACTTATCATATTTATCAGTTCCTTGATTGTTATGATAATTTGTTACGGAAAGATTTCTTCTAGGTGCACAATAATTTCTAAGAGGACTTTTCGGAAGGAATTGCAGCAGCATGTGCAAGAAAGAAAGGTTTAGCTAAAGCACATTTTATTTTAACAAGGTTAGGTACACCTAGGATTTAAACTGTGAGGACTCGGTTGGAGGTGGAAGAGCGGTGGAACAGCACCATTTGCATTATATAAATTTTCACCCAAATGTATAATTTCAAATTATTCTCTAAAGATATTCAACAATGATTCGGTACTTATTTATGTTATACATGCTGAGTCCATCACTTCATCAGGAGTCAGGCGAGGTCAAGCTACTAAGCGCAGCAGCCTGCTGGCCGACTTTTCTTCTCACGGTCGCAGAGAGCAGACTCTTATCACTAGTTACCCAGTGAACACCTCACTTACTGTACTCATATATAAGTGCACCCAAGACACTTCCCCTGGTAGAGAGGGCATAATATACTCTCAACCGAACTAAGTACCTGTGAAACTAAATTTTTCTACAATAAAGAAAAAAAACAGCAAAGTGTTTACTTCAGCCCATCTACTTAAGAGTTCCAGAACTAATTTAAAACAATTAATATAATACCAAAAGAGCTACGACAATTATTATTATTATTATTATTGTTATTGTTATTATTATTGTTATTGTTATTACAGTACTATTACTATTACTATTATTATCATTTTCTTTGTCTTTGTCATTATTATTATTATTATTAATATTATTATCATCATTATTATTTTTATTATTATTACTATTATCATTATTATTGTTAGTAGTAGTAGTTGACGAAGTAGAAGTAGTATTATTGTTATTATTATTATTATTATTATTATCATTTTTATTATTACTACTATTACTATTACTGTTACTATTACTGTTACTATTACTGTTACTATTACTGTTACTATTATTATTGTTATTATTATTTTATTATTATTATTTTTTTATTATTATTATTATGTTATTATAATTATTATTTTATTATTATTATTTTATTATTATTATTATTTTATTATTATTATTTTATTATTATTATTTTATTATTATTATTATTTTATTATTATTATTATTTTATTATTATTATTATTTTATTATTATTATTATTATTATTATTATTATTATTATTATTATTATTATTATTATTATTATTTTATTATTATTATTATTTTATTATTATTATTATGTTATTATTATTATTTTATTATTATTATAATTATTAGTTTCTGGCCTTCATGCCTCAGAGACTCAATAGTGTATTCAAAGCAGGCAGTTCCTACACAAAACGTCATCGATTATTCTCTTCCTTTCCTTGAAATAAAAACCTATTTATCTAGACGTCTTTAATGAACTCCCTGGCAACGATTTATACACAATATTCTCGTCTACTCTTTAAATTATTTCATTCATTTCGGTTATTTACTTTTCCTTTCGCGCCACTTTAACCAATATTTCGTCCGTTGTGTCATATTGTATATCATCGTAGGTGTAAAGATATTTTTCTGCTGTGTACACACAGTGGTATGACGAAAAATATGGAATCACAAACAAATGTAACAAAGTGTCTTAGAAACTTATCAGGTCACTGATGATGAGGAGAACTGAGGTCTCATCTAATAACTGATAAAGTAAACTTAAAGGGTCTAATCTAACAACTGGTAAAGTACACAAAAATAGCCTCTTTTAATAACTGGTAAAGTAGACTAAAAGAGCCCCACCTAACGTCTGATAAAGTGAAATATATGAGCCTCACCTAATTACCGGTAAATTAGACTAAAAAGAGCACCACCTAACATCTGAGAAAGTGGACTAAATGAGCCTCACCTAACAACTGATAAAGTAAAACTGAAAGACCCTCACCTAACAATTGGTAGACTAAATTAGTGTCACCTAACTGATAAATTAGCCTAAAACAGTCTCACATAACTGGTGAAGTACTGTTGACTAATGTAGTCTCACCTGGTACCAAAGGAGGCTTGTAAGAGAGTGATGATGCCAGAGACGAAGATGGTGGTAGATACTATCTGGCCTCGGACTGGGTCACTGTCATCGATGCATAAGAGGGGCGTCAGGATAAGGGGAACGCTGATGGTGCCAATAACCATAGTCAAGTAGTGCTGCAAGATAGTGATGAAGAAGAAGATGGTGCCAATAATCATAACAAGTAGTGCTGCAAGATAGTGATGAAGACGATGATGGTGCCAATAATCATATCAAGTAGTGCTGCAAGATAGTGATGAAGATGATGAGGGTGCCAATAACCATAGTCAAGTAGTGCTGCAAGATAGTGATGAAGACGATGATGGTGCCAATCCATAGTCAAGTAGTGCTGCAAGATAGTGATGAAGACGATGATGGTGCCAATAATCATAACAAGTAGTGCTGCAAGATAGTGATGAAGATGATAAGGGTGCCAACAACCAAAATCAAGTAGTGCTGCAAGATAGTGATGAAGACGATGATGGTGCCAATAATCATATCAAGTAGTGCTGCAAGATAGTGATGAAGATGATGAGGGTGCCAATCCATAGTCAAGTAGTGCTGCAAGATAGTGATGAAGACGATGATGGTGCCAATAATCATAACAAGTAGTGCTGCAAGATAGTGATGAAGATGATGAGGGTGCCAATAACCATAGTCAAGTAGTGCTGCAAGATAGTGATGAAGATGATGATGGTGCCAATAACCATAGTCAAGTAGTGCTGCAAGATAGTGATGAAGACGATGATGGTGCCAATAATCATATCAAGTAGTGCTGCAAGATAGTGATGAAGATGATGAGGGTGCCAATAACCATAGTCAAGTAGTGCTGCAAGATAGTGATGAAGATGATGATGGTGCCAATAACCATAGTCAAGTAGTGCTGCAAGATAGTGATGAAGATGATGAGGGTGCCAATAACCATAGTCAAGTAGTGCTGCAAGATAGTGATGAAGATGATGATGGTGCCAATAACCATAGTCAAGTAGTGCTGCATGATAATGATGAAGACGATGATGGTGCCAATAATCATATCAAGTAGTGCTGCAAGATAGTGATGAAGATGATGAGGGTGCCAATAACCATAGTCAAGTAGTGCTGCAAGATAGTGATATGATGGTGATGCAAGATAGTGATGAATATGATGAGGGTGCCAATAACCATAGTCAAGTAGTGCTGCAAGATAGTGATGAAGATGATGATGGTGCCAATAACCATAGTCAAGTAGTGCTGCAAGATAGTGATGAAGATGATGAGGGTGCCAATAACCATAGTCAAGTAGTGCTGCAAGATAGTGATGAAGATGATGATGGTGCCAATAACCATAGTCAAGTAGTGCTGCATGATAATGATGAAGACGATGATGGTGCCAATAATCATATCAAGTAGTGCTGCAAGATAGTGATGAAGATGATGAGGGTGCCAATAACCATAGTCAAGTAGTGCTGCAATATAGTGATGAAGACGATGATGGTGCCAATCCATAGTCAAGTAGTGCTGCAAGATAGTGATGAAGACGATGATGGTGCCAGTTATCATATCAAGTAGTGCTGCAAGATAGTGATGAAGATGATGAGGGTGCCAATAACCATAGTCAAGTAGTGCTGCAAGATAATGATGATGATGATGGTGCCAATAACCATAGTCAAGTAGTGCTGCAAGATAGTGATGAAGAATGATGATGGTGCCAATAACCATAGTCAAGTAGTGCTGTAAGATAGTGATGAAGATGATGAGGGTGCCAATAACCATAGTCAAGTAGTGCTGCAAGATAGTGATGAAGATGATGATGGTGCCAATAACCATAGTCAAGTAGTGCTGCAAGATAGTGATGAAGATGATGAGGGTGCCAATAACCATAGTGAAGTAGTGCTGCACGATAGTGATGAAGATGATGATGGTGCCAATAACCATAGTCAAGTAGTGCTGCAAGATAGTGATGAAGATGATGAGGGTGCCAATAACCATAGTCAAGTAGTGCTGCAAGATAGTGATGAATGATGAATAGTCAAGTAGTGCTGCAAGATAGTGATGAAGATGATGAGGGTGCCAATAACCATAGTCAAGTAGTGCTGCAGATGATGAGTGATGAGTAGACGATGATGGTGCCAATAATCATACAAGTAGTGCTGCAACATAGTGATGAAGATGATGAGGGTGCCAATAACCATAGTCAAGTAGTGCTGCAAGATAGTGATGAAGACGATGATGGTGCCAATAATCATAACAAGTAGTGCTGCAACATAGTGATGAAGATGATGAGGGTGCCAATAACCATAGTCAAGTAGTGCTGCAAGATAGTGATGAAGACGATGATGGTGCCAATAATCATAACAAGTAGTGCTGCAACATAGTGATGAAGATGATGAGGGTGCCAATAACCATAGTCAAGTAGTGCTGCAAGATAGTGATGAAGACGATGATGGTGCCAATAATCATAACAAGTAGTGCTGCAACATAGTGATGAAGATGATGAGGGTGCCAATAACCATAGTCAAGTAGTGCTGCAAGATAGTGATGAAGACGATGATGGTGCCAATAATCATAACAAGTAGTGCTGCAACATAGTGATGAAGATGATGAGGGTGCCAATAACCATAGTCAAGTAGTGCTGCAAGATAGTGATGAAGACGATGATGGTGCCAATAATCATAACAAGTAGTGCTGCAACATAGTGATGAAGATGATGAGGGTGCCAATAACCATAGTCAAGTAGTGCTGCAAGATAGTGATGAAGACGATGATGGTGCCAGTTATCATATCAAGTAGTGCTGCAAGATAGTGATGAAGATGATGAGGGTGCCAATAACCATAGTCAAGTAGTGCTGCAAGATAATGATGATGATGATGGTGCCAATAACCATAGTCAAGTAGTGCTGCAAGATAGTGATGAAGACGATGATGGTGCCAATAACCATAGTCAAGTAGTGCTGCAAGATAGTGATGAAGATGATGAGGGTGCCAATAACCATAGTCAAGTAGTGCTGCAAGATAGTGATGAAGATGATGATGGTGCCAATAACCATAGTCAAGTAGTGCTGCAAGATAGTGATGAAGATGATGAGGGTGCCAATAACCATAGTCAAGTAGTGCTGCACGATAGTGATGAAGATGATGATGGTGCCAATAACCATAGTCAAGTAGTGCTGCAAGATAGTGATGAACAGGGAGAAGGTAGCACCCACCATGGTCAAGGTAGTGAAGCAGGTGGTGATGGTGTTTTTATATTAAAGCTTCGAGGGAATAAGTTAGGTAGGGTCCCCCAATAGGTTAGGGATAAATATGGTAAAACACACACACACACTCTCACATACACCCACACCCACACACACACCCACACAGGAGTATCCGAAAAAACAGATTTTCACCGTCTTATTATATACGTACAGTATGCTTCAGTTTAAGTGAAAAGGCAATATAGCCGAAGCCCACCTTAACATTGGTGTATTTTTAAATTTAATCTTTTCAATAAAGGGGAGTTGATTATGATAAATTAAAACTGCTCTGGGGTAAGCACTATTGGCTAGATTCACTTTAAACTTTTCAAGAATATAAGATCTGCCCATGCATCAAAGAAAACGGAACCTTTCGGAGCTCGTGACGTCACCTGTGCTTACCTCTCTCTCTCTGGCTGACATCACATAATCCTGAGACTAAATTCGGTAATTGTCATTTCTATTTAATTTCTGGAAAAATTTTTCATAGTCGCTATTTTATATGTGTACAATTACCAGTATCAATATACAGTATATTCTATATTATAACAATAATCACCACCAATACCATTACTGCAGGAAACAAAGTCTAATTAATTAAAATCAGTGAGATCAGCAATTAGTTTTTCTCATATATCCTACACAATTATTTCGGCTCTCTTTGTGCTAAATCCATAGCTATCCTAACTATTTTAGCTGAACATATGCTTAGACTCGCCTTACAGGAACACTTAACTAATGTATCAATAAATTAATACCGAATAAATGCTGAATTCTATCCTATACTTAATACCCTAACTTATAAAATACTAGCCAAGGTCTAGACTCTAGAGAATCCATATACTTTCTAGACCTTGGTACTAGCATAGCCTAATTAATCATATAATTTAATGTTTGTAGTCTGCAAAAGGGTCATGACCGCAAACAACCACAATACAATATGAGAGTTTACAGGGTATATTAGATGACGAAAAATTTTGCTACCTCCACGCCCATTGATAACCAGTTGATGTGAAAATACGCACATGAAAATTATGTATTCAAACACAATCTAAGGTAATGATAAGAGTCATTTAAAAACTTGCAAAAGTAAAACTGACACTCCTCCTTTGAAATATATGTAAAAGCTATTCTAAATTGTTTTGGAATACGTTTATTTTCGGACACGCATTAGGCTACATTGTGTTATAACACTCCTATTTTTATGTTGTTGCTGAAATATTATAGGCTTACCTTTTGAACATGGCAACTGTAATTTTTTTGTATTTCTCCATTCTTAATCCTTACATAAGTTCTTGGTACTGGTAGTCCAAGCAGTGTAGCCTATATTTTAAGTTCTCCTGAAATGCACTTGCCTCAAACTGCATATTTGAGCATTTTCAGTCTTTACAAAATCTTTCCTCTTGCACAAGTGAATCCATCTTTTTCTAAGTTCTTTATCCTTCAGAAAGCAATGGGAAGTTATAACATCCCTGTTTCTAATTTGTGATAAACATCCCAAAGCTGAGCAAGTACTCGGCATGCTTTTTGTTGTTGTTGAATTTCTGGGAACAAGTGACGTCATGAGCTTCGAAAGGTTCCGTTTTCTTTGATTAGTGAGTATACTACTTCTATTCTACATAGACTGTAGTGATTTACATATCAACTGTTACCCCTTCCTTTTGCAGGCTCTAGGCTACATTTATTATTGTAAATATAGTGGAGGGCACTAAAACTTTGGATCTACATTCAAGGAACAAAAATCTTTTATATACTGTACAGTTATTTGCAGATTTACATATCTAACTGTTACCAGCTAAATACTTTAAACATTTACTTTGGACAGGACGTGTGTATTTACCCCAGTGAGAAGGCTTGCTTTCTGGTGCCTGTCTGGGGGTAATACACACGACCTTTACACGACAGTTGTATCAAGTTATTACATATTTCCATTAATTTCACTCATACAAAGAATCCCAAATAATTCACAATTTTCATAA